CAAGATGGAACAATTTGTGTATGTTCAATGTTATAATCTTTTCAATATACTTATGTTCTTAAAATCGAGTTATTGATATATCTTCTCTTGTGTGGGAACTTAGGCTATGTGTTGCAAGAATTTTGAAAATAGAAAGAAACAAAAATAGAGGCATCGAATAGGACTCGTAAATTTTAGAATAGTGTGCATGGAATTGGTGTTATCCTTCTACTTTGTTAATACTATCTTAGGATCTTTTGGCAAACAAGTTGATAATTAGATATTTTGGCTTTCATAATGGAAGGTTTGTGTTATTGGTGTGCTTATGCTTAGACTTGATACTTCTTTTTCTTTATGGATTTTTTTTTTCTGGTTTTAGTCTTTTGAAATTTTATTCTGTTTGTTGTTATTGTCAAATTTGTTCCACTTTTTTGTTAATTTGGCTATTCAATTGGTGGTTTTTATATAATTAGTTTTAACTAAAGTTCAATTGGAGTTTTGCCACACTTTTTGATGTAAAATTTTCTTTTCATATTGTAGCGTGCAACAAAGAGAATAATGAAGAACTAACGCAATTTGAACTGTTCATTGCAACTTGCACAAGCAAGAAAGGAAAGGAACTTGATTTTGAAACACAGGCTATGATTGTGAGTTGCTAAACATAGCAAATGGAATAGAACAAAATAAAGTTTCAAAAACAAAATCTTCAAGAAATTATGAGTACCTTTCTTTTCACCCCTGTTCTAGCAATAGGATTTAGCTATGAGTACCTTTCTTCCAGCAATAGGTTCAGCTTGTCTTCTTAATATTTGTACCATATAAAGTTCATTCCATCAAATTCATATCATTTTGCATGCAATGATCGAACTCCTTTAAAGTCTGCCAAAGGCATCTAAACACCTATATCCTTTGCAATTTAGATTGTTTGTGACTTTGGTGATTTTAACATACAATTATATATGTTGGTAGCATTGAGCACTTAGGAACACAATAAGCACTTTGAAACCTGATTGCTTGACAATTTATGATATTGTTTGACAATTAAAATGTAGTAAAATTGATTGAGTGGACTAAAATTGATGGTTTCTTTTAACAACCAGAACATCGAAATTGCCAAGATGCAAGAGAAAATGATAAGAATGCATTTGAGTCTATTTTTGGAAAAGAGCAACCTAGTCGAGTTCGTTGTTATTGGAGATCATTCACAAGAAGTTATCTAAAAAAGGATGAAGAAATCCTCCAAATTTCACAACATAACCAAAAAGTTGCACCTTTACAAAATGGCCTTGACCACATGTAGCAGAGGATGGATGGATTATGTAATTTGATGAGAATAATGTTGCAGCAAAACAACCTTGGAATGAGTGCAAAGGCTATCAAAGCTTTACTACAATCTGCCCAGATTTCTCCACCTGATGCAAACAGCGCACCAAATATTGTAGGACGAAATGTTCCTAACTCCTCTAGATCAAGTCATATTCCAATTAGTGAAAATGTAAGTCTTCTAATTTGATGATTATATACACTATCTAACTGTTCTTGATTGTGTAGAAATAGGACAGTTAAAATCTTGTTGACTAATTGTTGATTGTTCCTAGCCTTTACTTTCTATTAGTTTTTGTGATTACTATGCATTTTGCATGCAAATTCTATTAGTTTTTGTGATTTCTTTTGCTTTTAATTATTGCACCATTGACCCTATACCACACAAATATACTAATATTGTTTTTAATTTATATTTTAATTTTTGTAGGATAATATTGATGGTGGATTAGATGGCAATGGAGCATCCTAATCTTTGGTATTGTGAGCAAATGATTATGGAGATCATAATGTTTCATAGATTTTGTGACTTATATGTCTCTTTTTATCTTGTTTAATTGCTAGACATATATGTTAAACTAATTAATTTCTAGTACTTGTGTAGACTACAGAATTTGTCAATGTATTATTTCAGACAATGTTAATGAATTATAGATGTGTTTTTTTGTTTAATGATTAATCTTTGAACAATTTATTTTGAGAAACATCTTTGAAGTTTATGAATATGTATATAATTGAAAATCATTTTGGCTTAGTTTAGAATTATTTATGTATTAAAATTAAAAGTAATAAATTATTATTAAATAATTAATTTTTCAAATAATTTTTGCTGAATAAAAAATTTAAATCATTTCAAAATTGTAGTTAGGGTACAAAATAAACTATAGTCAAAAGTGTAGCTTAAAGTGAACAAAGCAAAGGCCATGGTTGAAAAGCATGGCAATAAGTTCAAAGTGAAGGCCACGATTCAAGAATGTGACATTTAATTTATATAAAAGGGCACGCTTTAAACTATGATCTTAGGTTGAAATCATAGACAACATTACTAAATATGGCCTTAGCACTGATAAAAGTGTGGCCATTAATTCGACCATATATCATGTTTTTAACTTCAATAGCCACGTTTTCTTGGATAACATGGCCTTTGTTGAGGACAAGCGTGGCCATAGAGAATAAGATATGGCTTTATAGGCCATGATAGGAGAAGCGTGGCCTTAGGTTTAAAAGTGTAGCCATTGATCAAAGGCCACACTTTTTGTAACTAATGGCCACACTTTTTAACCGTGGCCTAAGGATTTATTTGTTGTAGTGAGTTAAATTAGTATCTATATAAAAATTTTCAAATAGAAGAGCATGTTGAGTGATTATTATTAGCATTATATTTTCATTTGAAAACTAATAATTAGTTAAGTTCCTTACTTTTTTGCTCTACATTAAACTTTAACTCACAAATGTGAGTTTTGAGTCTTAAAGAGAATTTTTATCCTAATTTAATTAATTGTATCCCTTTCCTCATTATTTTGCGTGCTTATCTCCTTAAGATTTGTGCTCTAGACCTTAACTTGTAATTGATTTGAGACTACTATTTTTTATTGCATGTTTTAATGTGATTGAGGCATAATAGAATTTTTATTCTTGGCCTTCAGCATGTTTGAGATAGAGATACAACTAGTTGCCCACTTTGAGCTTTATTAATTTTCTTAGTCCCTTGCATTAAATGTATAAAATATTTTGATGACCTTGAGTTTATGAATGAAGCAATTGAGTTGTTGAATTATTTGATAAATTCTCCTTCATATCTCTCATGTGCAAAAAGAAAGAAAGTATGAAAAAAAAAATGAAAAATAGCAAAAAGAAAAGAAAAAGAGTTATATATGAATGAAAGGAGAGAGGAGTAAAAATATTGATTGTATATAAAAATTACTCCAAGAGCTTCATTTGTAATTTTAGGAAATGTTTCTAATTTTTTATAATTTATCATCTTTTTGTATATCCCTTCTTTTTATTTATCTCACATTAGTTATTATAACTCTTTGGCCACATTACAACTTGAAAAAGACCTCATGATTTTTACTTGCATTTAATTTATTTAATGGAGAGTCGGTTTATGGTCAAGCCTATGGTAGTACACTTTTCTTTGGAGGAGTTGAGTGATATTTCATTTTGTCCCTAGACACTTAGTGAGAGAGGAAAGTAAAGTACCTTAATTTGATATTTGAGTGAAAAGTTAGGGAATATAAGATTGTAATTGGAAAACCTTTTGATTGCTTATGCTCAGTGATATTTATCTCTTTGCTCTTTTTATCTCATTTATCTCGGGTTCCTTGTTGTGGTAATATGTTTTAAGTTATTTTATTATTCTCTTAGTTAGAACTTTCCTTAAGGACAAGGAAAAAGATAAGTATGGGGGAGTTGATAAGTTTGTATTTAGGCCCTCTTTTACAGGCCATATATTTATGTTTGGCCTTTATTTTATTTGAATTTTATATTAATTTACATGTTAATTGTGCAGTTTAGTATAAAGAGGCTACAAGTATATTTTAGGTGTGTTTTGGACTCAAATTGATGGAAGATCAGAGCTTTACAGCAGTCAGCACACCCAGACCATTTCACCAAGCACGGGAATGATTCGAGCCCATGCACAGTCATGCCTATGGCCTTACATAGCCGTGCTCATCTGCGGTAAGCTTAATTAATTAATATAAAGCTTTTAAGGTTTTCAAGCCCTATTAAAAAAGATAGACCTTAGGCACCCAATGAGACATCGAGGTTTACATCTTGTCTTTTACTCTTTAATACACCTTTCATCTTGTCTCTCTTGCATAGGATCCTTGGCATACTCTTGACGGGACTTGGAGCTTAGAAAGATTGTACTTGAAGATTAAGAACTCATCTCATTCTAGTTTACTTTTTTCTATGGCTTTATTTATGATTGTTTTTGTTTTTTCCTTTAGCATTAGTAAGTCCACAGGATAGTGTTTATCATACACCCAATGGAACTATTGTTCATGAATTTATGGGATTTTGAAGATTGAATCTATGTTTGATTTTCGTATGTGATTAGTGTTTATCCTATTGCACATAATTGTATAATCCTAATTAATTATATCGTCAGACGACCATACCTCGATTAGTTAATGGATCTATAGGATAAAACGAGACAAAGAATTAAGTGGACTAAACCAATCTTTCTTGTCCATTTGTTATTAAATTAACAAAGTTCACACGTGCTTTATGCTTTTTTTAATTTAGGTCTTACATAACCATTGGAGATGTTAATTTAGAGAAAAAGTAATTGTATGAATGATTGGTAATCACAAGGAAATTGAACTTATAATTAAACGAAAATATAACATAAAAGATTGAATGAGAGCACTCACATGCCCTATGTTCCTCTTCAATAAGTTTAACCAAGATGTGCATTGTATTCCTTGTTCTTAGTTTTATAATTGGTTTTATAAATTCTTGTTTTAATTAATCTCATATGTTTGAAGCTCAAACAATCAAAGTAGGAAATTCTTAGTAATTAGAAAACAATTCTCGTGGGACAATAGTTTAAAAACTTAATTTAAGAACCCTTTATTACTTCTCGACAAGTACATTTTCCCCCGAACACTCCTCCAGCTGCTGCATCAACTGTAGCCCTATTAGAGACTTATAGGTCATTGTAAAATATTTATATTTGTCTATACATAGGAAAATTATGGTGAGGACACTTCCTTGGATGTCCTCCAAATTTTTTCCATGCTTTAAATAGGGATTCTGACTTATACTACTAAAAACTAAAAATTTCTGTCATAAGCTTAGTAGATTTGGATAGGGGAAATATTTTTCCAGAAATAACTGAATCAAATCTTTCCATGTTGTGATAGACCTTTTGGTAGCATGTCAAACCATGCATTCACCTTTTTCGTGACAAAGAATGAGAAAAGGCGAAGCCTAATAACATCAGTAGTGACCTTGTTGTACTTTATAGTGCTTGTGAGCCAGTTAAATATTGTCAGATGGAGGTTGGGTTGTGGTCTTCGTTAGGCATTTCTCTAAATTGTGTAGTATTTTGTACCATAGTAATTAATGCCAACTTCAACTCAAAATTGTTGGCCTCCATATTAGGGGTCATGATGCTTCCAAAAGCACCTTTAGTAGCGGGTGTGATGTAATCTTGAATTGATCTCCTTCCCTTAGCCATATTTTTCTTTCTTAACTCTTTTCTTTGTCTTCACATAGTTCTTTCAAGTTTTAGATCAAATGAGTGGGTAGTAAAAGACTTAGAACAAGTGAGCATACACTAAAGAAAATTTATAAAATAAAAAATAAAATAGAATAAATAAAATAGACAATAATGAAAATAAACAAAACAAAATTAAATTAAAAATGAGATTTTTTTAATATTGGAAAAATAATCCCTGGCAATGAAACCTGACGATATCCTCCATCGAGAACATCATACTCCTCCCTTAAATCTCTAGGAAAGCTCGGTTTAAGAAACTCATTTCCAGGTAAGGGGAGCTGATCCTAATGTGTAATTTAACTTAAAAAACTTAAGTACTTGATTCTAAATAACAAAACTATAAGGTATTTCCTTAAAATCATGATGTATAAAACATATTTTTGGGGTAGAAAACCCCATTTTGAACCCAGCCTCCAATATTCTCATTTTGGGTAATAGACCCTAATGATTTTTAAGATTTTAGCATTAAAAATGGAATTCTGAGTATAAGAAACCGATAATTTATTTTAGATATTATTTTGACAAAATTATATGTTAAAAACTATTAGTAATTAAGTTTTTGAGGAATTTTTAAGATTTTACTATTATTTAGGTATGTACAAGTAATATTGAATTATTATTTTATATGATACATGTATTAGAAGATACTGAACTTTAGGATAGGCAACTTAATTAATACCGAGAAAGTGTGTATATTGAATTGTATGATTGGTCTGAGTCTGGAAGTGTCTGACCTTTAGCATATTGTATTGATCTATGTGGTGGGAAATTGATTGATGATCTTTCTATATTAGATAATATACTAAATATGGATGTTGTATGATAGCTGAGGTATGTTGAAATTGGTAGATTTATATTATTGATGAAAAATGTTTGACTGTTCTTGAATGAAGAAAGAGTATTATATATAAAAGTGAATAATGTAACATGATCGTGGAATTAAGAGATTTGTGATTATAATACATGAGTCATAACCAATTGATAGGTGTAATTATGATATAGGTCAATCAATACATTGAAAGGTGTACTTATGATACATGTATTATAATATATTGATTTACATAATCATAACTCATGTATTATGACATGCTAATCTATGAAAAGGATGTGAAAATGAAATAAGAAATGTTGCGAAAGAGAATGATATGAGAAATGCTGAGAATAACTATAAATAGTCACAGAGATACACTGAGAGTGTGGAAGATGAGAGCGCGTTTGAAAATTTGAGATAAATGAGGGTGGTGGATGTTTTTCTTTAAATGCTCATAATTGATGAAAATAGAGGGAAAAGACACCACAAACGTCACACTCATTTCCTGACCTAAACCTCTAACCACACATTTCCTAAAAGAGGTCAAGTTGGCACAAGTTAGCACACGTTGTATCCATGTACAGCAGCTAACCAGCAACTATCTATACTATGAAGATCTTAAGAGATCTCAAGAGCAATGATTATAGAAGTGTGACGAATGTGAAGTAGTATAGAAATTGTGTGATTATAATATATGCATTGTAACATATTGATTGGTATTGTTATGATATATGTGTTGTAATACATCAACGGGTGTGATTAAGACATATGTATTGTGACATATTGATATAATATATGTACTATGACATAAAATCAGTGTAGAAATATGATTGACTTAATATATGTGCTCTGCTATGATAATTGTTGATATAATATGTGTGTTATTTATAATTAGTATATATTAAAATGTGTTAGATAATACTTTCAGTTTCATTTAAATTATTATATCAAATAAAAGATTTAGTGGGGCAGAGAATACTAACTCTTACTAATTATTTTTGGGAGATGAAATTGAAGAGAATAAAAGGAAGATTAGTTCGCTCTAGGATCATAGCCCAGTGACATTGAGAGAAAAGGATGCTCTGTAGAATTGAAATTATTTGAAATTGTAATATTTTAATAAGCTTCTAGTTTAATTTGACAAAGTTATGTAATCGTTCTAGGATCATAGTCCAGTGACATTGAGAGGAAAGACTGCTCTGTAAAATTTAAATTATTTGAAATTTTAATATTTTAATAAGCTTCTAGTTTAAGTTAATAAAGTTATGAATCATTCTATGATCATAGCCCAGTGACATTGAGTGGAAAGACTGCTCTGTAAAATTTAAATTATTTGAAATTATAATATTTTAATAACCTTCTAGTTTAAGTTGACAAAGTTATGTAATCGTTCTAAATATCAACTTTTGAATTTATAGTAATTTGATAAGTTTAGTTGTTAAAATTAATTTGAAGTATATTTGTAATATTTGTTACTTTCCAGAATGCAACTCAAAAAAAGTCAACTAGCAAGTATACTAGTGAGGTTGTAGCAAGTTATAAAATATAGATTCATTTTTGAGTCCCAAATATGTCCTAAAGAATTGGTTTTTTCAAGTATCAATTCATAAATTAACATTTAATTGAGTCATACGAATGTTGAAAGGATTTGCATTATCTGAAAATTAGGAATAACAAGTGCAAAAAAGTATGAACTTGCAATATGACAAAGCTACAAATTTTGTATTGGAATGAAATCAATAGAGTGTAGTTAGGGAATTACTTCACCAAATTCTCAATGACAATTTAATCAAGTTCTAAACTCTTAAGTGTTCTGGTCAGTTGATAATCAATTTCACTTAGTTTTAACCGAAGGTCAATCCATTGACAATGATTTTAATGTTCAACTTAATCACCCTAATTCCTTAGGTGTAATTCAATTAAGTATTGCATTAAGAGTTAGAAATCATAGGATTACAAGATTATCAGCACTTATCCCTAAGATACCATTAATCTTGGCAATTAACTCAAATATGAGAAATTAATTCAATTTCCATTGATAAAAGTTATCTAAGTTCAATTAATTGAATGGTTCATCCAATAAATGCATTAACACCAAAATTAATTGCTCAATTCAACCAGAAACTCAAGGTTCAGATCCAAATCAAATCAACATCTCAAATTCAGATCTATAGATCCCTAACAAAAGAGTTTAGAATAACATCACAAGTGGAGAAAAGAAAGAAAGGGAAAAAAGATGAACAACATAAATTCATCTTCAAATCCAATCCCCAATCTGACTCCTCAGAAATTTAAGCTTGTAAGTTGCCCCTGATCTTTCTCCCTAACTCTCCTAAGAAGTAAAAATAAAATGAAAATAAAAAAATGACCAAAAGATCCCAAATCTTTGAGCTTAATTCATATTTATAGTTTTCCCACCTTTTTAGCATGGTTACTGTATATGGATAAAGTAACCACGCAGAATGCTTCATGTGAGTTTTCAAGGCTAGAGTAGTCATTATTATTGAAGAAAGTAGTCACGTAGAGGTGTTTTTCCAAAGTTGGCTTGCACGTGTTCACTATATATGCATAAAAGTGTAACATGCAAGCTCTATCCCTATTACTCTTCTCTATAGTGTTCACTATTTTCAACAATAGTGATAATGCCAGGTATGTTTGGATCCGCGTGTTTACTCTTGGCGCAGATAGGAGTCACGTGCAGCTTCAGTCCTTCAATCAGGCTTGCGCATAGTTACTCTACGTGTAGAAAGCATTTACACGCAAACTTGTTCCTAGATAAAGGCTCTGTAGTGTTCACTTTATACAAAAATATTGAACACTTTTATTCTTGCTTCTAGACAAAGGCTCTGTAGTGTTCACTTTATATGAAAATAATGAACACGCCCATCATTCTCTTGCTAGATTAACCTCAAAGTAGTCACTTTATGCACCAATAGTGATTACACCCAACATTCAACTTTGGATTCTTCATTCTTTATGTCCAGATTTCCCACTTTTTTCTATTTTCTCTTCTTGAATCCTTAGCTTCATGACTCTCAGCTCAGAATTTCCTACAAAATTTTATTCTAATGAGCAATTTATACCAGAAATGCATAAAATCTAAAATAACTGGACTATTTAAAATAATTGAATATTTTAACATTTTTATGAGATTTTAAGTTTTCTCATTCAACTTTTCTATAAAAAACTGCTAGAACTAAAATATTAGTAAAATATAGATTTATCAAATAGAAAAATTTAGTATTTTTCAAACCAAAATACCAAAAGGAGTTAGGGTTTGTGATCAACTCTCCTTACTTGGAAATGAGTTTCTTGAATTGAGTTTTTCTAAAGATCAAAGGGAGAGGTACAACGGTCCCTAAATATTTCAAAGTAGACTTCCTTTGAGAAAGAGAAAATCGAAGAAAAGGAATGAAACTAGAGATCTGAGCTCTGAGCAACTTACTTGAGTACAAATTGAATAGATGTTCGAGCTCGGATTTGGAAGAGGTTCAGGATTCGGGAGAGTTTTCTCTAAGAAGAGAATGTGAGAGAAGAAAGAGAAACGAGGAAGGAAAGTTATTTGATGAGAAAAATAAAAATTTCAACATTGAGGTCCGTTAAATACCCCTCTAAATCCGCGTGTTCTTGCTTGAGCAAACCCTACTCTCGCTTAGGCGAGACCTACCTCGCTTGGGTGAGAAAACCATATAGCAGAGCTACTTAATTTTTTGCTATTCTTGCTTGAGCGAGAGACATTCTTACTTAAGCGAGCAGCATCTAG